ACTTTTTTATAATTTCCCTTGCGAGAATAGAGCCGCATTCTTTTGCTCCGCTCCGTCCTGCCTGCTTCGGAGCTCTGCCTTCCACCGGGCCTGGCTGCGCTTTGTCCGGCGATGGCGAGCGGGACGAGGCCCCGGCCCGGCCCGGCCCGGCCGCTCCCGCTGGAGGTGGGGCGCGTGCAGTTCCCGGCGCCGCGGCGGCCGCTTCGCAACTCGCAACCTGGCTAATTTCCTGCGGCCTCTGGCACCAGGAAGGAGGACAATTCGTCTCCCCGGCGGCCCGAGCGACAGCTGTCAGAGGGGCAGGAGCTTCTGGGAGCCGCCATCTGAAGGTGAGACATGTGCGGAGACAGGAGCAAAGGTGGTGAGATGGCAGCCGGCGCCCGCGGCGGTGGGAGAGGGCACTAGGGCGGCTTTGACGAGGGGCATACTCACCCTCGCCCCCACTCACCGTTCACACTTGCCCCCCATCACACGTGCGCGCGCGCGCGTGCACACACACGCGCGCGCGCGCGCGCTCCCTCTCTCTTCTCCCTTGCTCACCATGGCAGTGAATTCCAGCCTCCTTTCAGGGGCACAACGCCCTGGCATGGGGCAGGGGCGCTGAGGTCTCTCCCCTCTTCCCCAGCGACCTTGCCGAGCCCCAAAAGAAGTGACCCTGCACTCCGCGTTCCTTGCCAGCCTCTCGGGTTTGGATTTTTTTTTTTTTCCCATTCAAGACCCAGTTGGCTCGGTTGAATTCTCCAATAGCTGGAGACAGTTCCTGACCTGGGGAGGTGGGAAGGGGTGAGGGCAGAGTGAATTAATCGACCTGCGTCTTATTAGTGTCAACACAGTACCTTCTCTCTGGAGGGAATCGGTTTCTGGGGAGAAAGGTAGAATGAGGAAAAAAAGGAAACAAAAAACTTACTTAATTCAGCCATGTTCCTCTGCGGGTTGCCTGCTTCCCTTCACGCGGTTTTCCGATGACAGATGTGTCTGTAGCGCGGGGAGAGGGACTGGGTGCGTGGGTGGAACTCTGTGTTGGAGGAGAGGATGGGGTTAATTGGCTGGGTGCTGCTTGGCGGGAAGTTTCGGTGCAGAGAATGTAGTGGTGTTATTGAGAGCGGCAGCCCCCCCCCACCCTCCCGCAGCTAAGGTTGAAGGGAGAACGCAAACCGAGTCTGGGTAATAGGGGGACCCCCCACCCCCCACCTCGGCGCAGCGGGCTGGCGGCCGCGCGCCCCACTTCCCGGAGCCGGGAGGGGACTGTGAAGCCGGCCGGGAGGCACGGAGGGGACCGTGGCCGTTGACTTTACGTGGCGCGGTGTCACAGACCGTGGCTTGGCCTGGGTGCGCGTCGGGCAGATTTGCCCCGGGAGCTTCCTGGGACTGCGACCAGAAACGATCCTGAGGGTCTGGGCTCGAGTTCTTTTTGTTTGTTCTGTGGTTCTGCTTGTTGTCGTTTTTCCACCTTATGATAATACCTCGGTATGCATTAGAAAATTAAGAAGGGGCTGTGGATGTTTGGGGCGTCCACCGGCGCTGTGGGTGCACTCGGGGCGGATAAAGCTGCGCCTTTGCGTCGCAGGGCCGCGGGCTGCCTGACTGCGGCTGCCGCGGGCAGATTATTTATTGCGACCGCGCTGGGCGCTCGCTGCTGCCACGCTGTGGCCGTCGCCGGTACCGACGCCAGCCGCAGCCCCGCGTCGTGCAGCCTGGCGCGACTGCCGCGCGGGCCCCTCAGAGATTCCCAAGCAGGCCGTGCAGAGGGGGGCAAGGGAGGACCTGAGGGGCGGCCTCTCAGGGCCTGTCGGGAACCTCCCCCGCCTTGGCCACCCCTGATAGGAGCTGGACGCCCGACTAGACTCGGGTCCTCCCCCCACCCCCAGCGCCATGGAGACTGGTTGCACAGGCGGCCTGGCACGTTATGGCTGCTTCTGTCCAAACTGCGCGTCCCAAGGCGTCCCCGGGGCGCACGTTGGTTCGGGGAAGGCGCCCGCTTTGGGATTTTTCAAATCGGAGAGACCATTCCTGGTCCCGAGGCCTGCAGGCCTGGCTGGCCCTGAGGAGGATTGGCTCTGGCAAGGAAGCGGGCTTTGGCGTCAGGCGAGGGCCTGTGACAGGCAGAGGCCGCACCTGTATGCTATGGGCTCTGGCCCGGGCTACAGCTCCAGGCGGCACGGGTGGCCCTCCAGGTCACCCCCCCACACACCGGCAGGCCTCCCTCCAGGCTGGCGGAGGTCGAGTGGGCAGCCCAGAGAAAGGGCGGACTGTGGGGCCCTCCTCGCCATCCAGTCCCCCTTGAAGAGCAGCTGAAAGGTAAGCAGACTTTCTCTATGGCTTTGACCTAGAAGAGAGAGTCCTCCTAGCCATTCTCACTATCCCGGGAGAGGCTCCCTCCAGCGTCTGGGGCTCCTATTCTTGCCTGAGTGTGTGTGTGTGTGTGTGTGTGTGTGTGTGTGTGTGTGTCGCTCTGTTTCTCTCTCTCTCTCTCTCCATATATATATATATATATATATATATATATANATATATATATATATATATATATATATATATATATATATATAGGCACCTAAAGCTGGTTGGAGAATAAATTGGGCCGTTGCCAACATGATATGTACCAGCCTTGGCTAACACGTAGAGATTTCCATTTAATTTATTTTTTCTCTCTCCCTGCCTATAGAAACTAGAAACACAATGGTTTTTGGCTCTTAGCTGAGAAATCAAATTCTGTCATTGTCTGGGCTAAGTCTTAGATCAAGAATCTAAGTCAAACCATAGCAAATAATAACAATAGTAGTATATGTAGTAAACTGCCATCTCTCCCAATATGCTGTGTGAGACCTGGAGGTATGAAGCAGAAATTATAAATGTAAACATTTCTCAACATCTCCCCACAGTTATTTTTGTCTTACATTATAATAATTTGCCCGGCATCACTGTCATCTGATAGTCCTGTTTAAGAAACAATAACTCATACACAATTTTCTTGGGATGTAGCCTTAAAAATAGTTCCCTTTAAAATTTTTGACTGGAGTTTTCCTTTCCACCCATCGGGTTTATCCCCTGAAGAAATTCGAGGGAAATGTTACATTCTAGCTTCTCCTGCCAGGCCCTTTTTATATATGCAAAAGAGAAACTGTCCCAGCGTGGACTGATTGGGGCAGAGGGAGAAGGCTTCTGGGTGTAGACCCCATCGGGTGGGCAGCAGCCACTTTGTAGGGTGCTCGCTAGCTTCTGCGGAGGCCGCCCTTAGCCCAGTCCTTTCCCAGTTTTCTCCCTTTGAGGGAAGTGAGGGCAGGGGGGAACAAATCAAAAAGCAAGGAAGAGATTAAGGAAGTCGTTGTCAGATTCTTAGGAGGACACTGCCACCCCCCAAGTCCTGAACCCCATCAGCCTGCATTCACCAGAGTTTTACAGATCTTAGAAACGTCCTCTGGAAATTCAACCAAATTCCATAAATAGTCTTTCTTCAGCGTCCACAGAATTGAGGATTTTAAAGCTAATTCAAGGGTTTTACAAGCCCAACAAATACTGTTGTAAAAATGCCATTGGAAAGATATCACATTTTACAAAATGAGATTGATCCATGTGCTGTAAAAGTCAACTATCTCCAAGGCACACCTATCAAGCCAGGGCAGCCGGGGACATGTTTTTCGCCTCCTGTCCGGGAAAGGCCAGGCCTGTGACAACGGCAAAAGCAATGCAGAAGGTTCCTGGAGCCGGTGAGGCAACTATGCTTGGTACTGGGGCAACTGCAGCCAGCAGGCCCCTAGCAGTTCCCAGGAAAGGCAGGGAAGAGGGTACACCCCAGGAAAGTGCAGGCTGTCGGGCGCCCCGGAAACCAAGCACATCAATTATCCCACAGCCTTGGGACATCCCAGCTGCCCTCTATGCCTGGTTGGGCAGGGACCTTGGGACGCCCGTGCCTCCGGAAAGAGGACAGAGATTCCACATCTGGATCTGGCTCAGCTCTGAGTGGTCCGGGTGTTGGGAGGGCCAGTCCCAGGGCTGGGTGAGGGGAGCAGGTCCCCTGTTTGGCTTCGAAGCTCAGTCTCAAGGCCACTCCTCTGTAGGTCCCTTTCTTGTTGAAGCCAGTGGTTTCTGGCCTTTCGATTCCTGGGTTCAAAGGTGGGGCCGGGGACGCACAGCTTGTGGGGTGCTTTGAGGCCAGGCGGTCGCTGGCCACTGGAGGGGAGCCCGGCTCGACTCGAAGGAGACGTGTCGTACGTGGGAGGCTGGGGCTGGCGGGGGGAGACGTTTGGCCGCGTCTTGGTCAGCTCGAGGTGAGCCTTCGGCCCCGGGGCGGCCGCGAGGCCCAGGCCCTTGGCGGGAGTGGGGAAGGAGGGAGGGAAGGGATGCACCGATTCCTAAGAGGCAGGCGTGAGGAGCTGGGCGTGAAGGCCTGGTGTCTCAGGCCCCCTTCTTCGGCCCCGGAACCCGCACCCACGGGCGGGGGAGTGCGGAGGGAGGGGCACGCCCAGGGCCCTGCCGGGAGGGCGAGCCGGGCCGCGCGCTGAGCCGTCGTGGTCACCGCCCCTCCCGGCGCGGGGCTGTCAGGTTTCCTGTTTGGAAAGAAAAACCAGCGAAATCCGAAAAGGCAAGAAGGGGGGGGGGGGTGGAGGACGCAGCGGGCCTGGCGGGGCCTCTGCGGCGGCCCGGACCCCAGGGCCCCTGCCCCGGCCTGATTCGCGCGCCCCTGCCCGGGCCGGGCCCGCCGCCGGCGTTCGGGAAGGGAGCCGGGCCGGCCGGCTGTGCGCGCCCATCAATCTGCCGGGCGGGCGGCGGGCGGGCGGGCTGGGGGCTGTTTGTAACTTTGCTGCCTCGGTCGCCGCGGTCCCCGGGGAGCGGGCTCCAGCGCTCGCTCCCATTGGCCGCCGCCGCGTCAGCTGGTGCGATTTGCTGCTGTCGCTTTTGGCGTTCGGCCATCCAGAAACAAACCAGTTCGATGACTACTAATAGTTATAGCCAGATGTACTAATACACAACAAATCACAGTCCTGCAGAGGGGCGCGCAAATGAGTTCCTATTTTGTGAATCCCACTTTCCCCGGGAGCCTGCCCAGCGGCCAGGACTCCTTCTTGGGCCAGCTGCCCCTCTACCCGGCCGGCTATGACGCGCTGAGGCCCTTCCCGGCCTCGTACGGGGCGTCGAGCCTCCCGGACAAGACGTACACCTCACCTTGTTTTTACCAACAGTCCAACTCGGTCCTGGCCTGCAACCGGGCGTCCTACGAGTACGGGGCCTCGTGTTTCTATTCTGATAAGGACCTCAGTGGCGCCTCGCCCTCGGGCAGTGGCAAGCAGAGGGGCCCCGGGGACTACCTGCACTTTTCTCCCGAGCAGCAGTACAAGCCCGACAGCGGCAGCGTGCCGGGCAAAGCCCTCCATGACGAAGGCACCGACCGGAAGTACACGAGCCCTGTTTACCCCTGGATGCAGCGGATGAACTCCTGCGCGGGTAAGGCATTTCCCCGCCGCCCCCCCAAGAGAGTGGAGGGAGAGGGGGAAGGGGGCAGGGAGAGAAGGAAGGCTGGAGGAGGCGGAGAAATTAGAAAGAGGAGATGGAGAGAAAGGAGGAAAGAATGAACAAAGTTCCTTTGGCTTTTTAAAGAGATTTTTAAAAAAAGAAAAAAAAAGAAAAAAAACAACCCATTCCCAGTGAGGCAGTCAAGCTGTGGCCGAGTAAAGGCACTGGTGTCCGTGTAAGGTGACACCCTAGGGGATCGAGAAGGGTCACTGCCACCCTGTGTGAGACCCTGTGAGGGGCAACCTGAACAGAGAGCGAGGCTGGATGGGAGGGAGTGCCTGCCCACACTTCCCCCTAGAACCGCCCTGCACAGATCCCCAAGCGGAGATGGCCTTCTGCACCCATCACTGATAACTCCCCTTCACCCCCCAGTCCCTCTCCTTTCTGCCCTGCAAAACCCATCTAGTTAGAGCCTCTCACTTGGCCACTTCTGGTGTCTCCCCAAAGCTTTGGAGGCCACATCCCCAGCCTCAGGATTTTTTTTTTCTCTTTCTCCTCCCTTCCCTCCTCCTCCTTCCACTCAACTGCTCACTCTTAGCCAACTTCTGCCTCCTTTTGAGGCCCTGCCTGAGTCTCACACACACAGCTTGGGGGGGGGACCCCCAACCATGGGTTCCTTTGGCACCAGAACGGATAGTCCATCACAGTCCTACATTTCCAGAAGCCCCAGATGGCCCATAGCTCCATCCCGTTGCCTCTGGTTTCCAAAAACTCAACAGAGAATCCTAGGACAGACCCCAACGCAGGTTTTTGAAACATATAGTGTTTTGCTTTAAAATCCACTTGGTGTTTTTTTTTTTTTTCCAAGGGAGCTCTGCAATTCTCAGAAGGGCCATACAGTTTGGGGGAGTCTGCAAAGATTTGAGAGGGCTGCCCATTTTTCATCTTCCGAAAAACATGGTTGAGTCCTGACGTGTCTGGCCACAGTAACACCTTTCACAGAGATCCGTGTGTGAATTCCGAGTGTCTGCCCTGCTCCCAGGGTTCCCCGCCCATCACTTCCAGACACACACACTACACTCCCACAAAACCACGACCCAGGTACCCTGAATTAAGAGCGCCCGCTCTATTCTTTTGCTTTGTAATGGTTTCCTCACAGAGCAGACTTTTCGAAAGCAGTAACTTCTCACTGCAGGTTGTTTTAGGTGGAAAACATCTCGCTTGGTATGAAATCATCTTCTCCCATCCTGCCCGCTTACGGCCTTAGACACACTTAGACATAGCTAAAGAGGTTGGAGTGGAGGCCGGTGGTTTCCAGCTCAGAGGCCAGGGGCGCGGGGCGCGGGTCCGCCGGTTCGGCCGCCGGGCCCTCCTGGCTCACTGGCGCCCGGCCATTTCTGCCCGCAGGTGCTGTGTATGGGAGTCACGGGCGCCGAGGCCGCCAGACCTACACGCGCTACCAGACGCTGGAGCTGGAGAAGGAGTTCCACTTCAACCGCTACCTGACGCGGCGCCGCCGCATCGAGATCGCCAACGCGCTCTGCCTCACCGAGCGCCAGATCAAGATCTGGTTCCAGAACCGCCGCATGAAGTGGAAAAAGGAAAATAAACTCATCAATTCCACCCAGCCCAGCGGGGAGGACGCTGAGGCAAAGGCGGGCGAGTAGACGCCTGGGCAGGGACCAGGCCAGCACCGCGACCTCCCTCGGCTTTGCCCCCTCGCCTTCGCCTGCTCCCCAACTTTCCTCCCCCGCCTGCTCCCATCCGGGGGGCTTCTGCAGCTTCAGGGGGAGCCGGGAGCTTTGCAAACGCCTGAGCATTTATTTCTCTCTCACACACAAAATCCCACACACAGCCAATCCCAGCGGTGGAGCGGGGCGCACTGCACACACAGTCCCGCTCTCCAAGGCTGCTCTAGCCGGCTTCGGATCCCAGGGCGCGCCCCGATTTCGTCCCCGGCTCTTGTGCTAGTGCCTTTGCGCGCCCCTGAGCTCGGGACGCGGGGTTGCTGGAGAGGAAAGAACCTGGGCCGAGCCTCTTTTGGTGTCTGGGCGTTTTCGCCTCGGTCCCTCGCCACCAAGTCCCGGAGGGCACCGCCAGATCGACTCTGGCCACTGGAAAGAGGGGGCACAAAGGCTGGGGCCCCAGCACTTCGGTGGCATCCCGGGCGCCCCTAGACAGGAAGAAGCGTGAGGAACAAAGGGGGCCCTGCGACAGCCTTGTCTCTCGGCCCCGCGCGCGCAACCGTCCGTGGAAGAGAAGCAGCCTCAGCTGAGCCGACCCAACCTGAGCGCGGGTGGAACTTTACAGCCCTGGGAGAGACTGGGCTCCCGAAGTCTCCAGCTCCGGATCCCGGATCCCGGCCTCCGACAGTGCCTGCGCTGCCACCAGAGTAGCTTTCAGGACCTAAGGAGGGGGCCCAGGGCCATGGGAACGGCAAGAGTCCTGGTTTCCAAATGTGCCAGGGGGGCCTGCGACTCGCAGCCTCCAGCGGGAAGTACCCTCTATGCCTTTCGGCTATATTCGTGATTTACTTTCGTCTTTCAGGACCCAGGAAAAAACTACGAAGATACTAGGCACTAACACGAAATGCTTCCATCAGCACCCTCATTTTACTCCTGGAGATCTAAGCAAGACCCTAACAACTCGGCCCACGGATTCCCAGCCCCCAAACAGCTTCTGTGGCTGCGGGGAGCCTGGGCCCACTGGCTGGGTTCACCGAGAACCCTCCGAATTTGGGCCCGGCTAGCTCGAGGAAGGGGACCTGGTGGTGAAGATTCTCCAGGCTGGATACTTAAGGCAAATCAAATAGCGAGCTAATGACACGAAAACCATATTTGCACGAAAGAAAAATCGACTCCGGTTATAAAAGTGTATGGAATTTGACCTCGCCTCGGAGAAACACTACACAAAAGCTATCTTTAATAGACGCCTATCATTTAAGAGCGGCAGGGACACTGTCCCTCATGCACTCACAAAAAAACAGAGCCGTAATTGTAGCTGCTGCTGCGGGCAGGATTTATTTCTCCAATTGGCTAAATGGCCTTCCCCCCTTCCCCGAAGGTGATATCTGTATTTTCAAATTTCAGAGCTGCCGGCACGACGGGCAGAACCGACCCCAACCTCAACACAAAAATAAGAGGGGCTGCACAGCGGGGAAATAAAGTTGTTGTAAATAAAATCCAAGTCACCGTCTCCCCCCAATCCTCTGCATCCTCGCCGGGCGCGCGATCGGCAGCTGACGGCCTCACAATTGGTACATCCTAATGGAACTGCGAGGGAAATGCAATAATTTTGCCATAATGGGCTGTAACCTCAATTCGACCCCGGCCCTTGCAGCCCTCGGTCGGAAGCGGAGCGATGCGCCCTGCCTCCAGCGGGTGGCGCTCGAGTCCGACTGAACGGCGGCGGCGGGTGGCGGGCACGCGCCTGGGGCGCGCGCGCCACCCCTCTTGCCTCCACCCAACTCCCCCATTAGTGCACGAGTTTACCTCTAGAGGTCATCAGGCAGGATTTACGACTGGACAACAAAAGCACGTGATTCGAAGTCGTACCCCATATTTGGGTGCCTACGTAGGAGGGAACCAAGTACATGTCCCAGTCATTTCCATAATTCATCATAAATTGTGCAAGGGTGCTATAGACGCACAAACGACCGCGAGCCACAAATCAAGCACACATATCAAAAAACAAATGAGCTCTTATTTTGTAAACTCATTTTGCGGTCGCTATCCAAATGGCCCGGACTACCAGTTGCATAATTATGGAGATCATAGTTCCGTGAGCGAGCAATTCAGGGACTCGGCGAGCATGCACTCCGGCAGGTACGGCTACGGCTACAATGGCATGGATCTCAGCGTCGGCCGCTCCGGCTCCGGCCACTTTGGCTCCGGGGAGCGCGCCCGCAGCTACGCGGCCGGCGCCAGCGCGGCGCCTGCCGAGCCCAGGTACAGCCAGCCGGCCACGTCCACGCACTCGCCTCCGCCCGACCCGCTGCCCTGCTCCGCCGTGGCCCCCTCGCCCGGCAGCGACAGCCACCACGGCGGGAAAAACTCCCTGGGCAACTCCAGCGGCGCCTCGGCCAACGCCGGCAGCACCCACATCAGCAGCAGAGAGGGGGTTGGCACGGCGTCCGGAGCCGAGGAGGACGCCCCCGCCAGCAGCGAGCAGGCGAGCGCGCAGAGCGAGCCGAGCCCGGCGCCGCCCGCCCAACCCCAGATCTACCCCTGGATGCGCAAGCTGCACATAAGTCATGGTAAAGCCAGCCTTTTTCTAAATCCACGCGGCCGCGGGGGCGCGGCTCTCGGTCCCCCCTCTCTCCTTTACCGCCCTCTGTCCCCCTCTCTCTCCGGGTCTCGCCTCTCCCAGCCCTGTGGAGTCTCTCCCCGCCGTTCTCCTTCCCTGCTTCCCTGCTTTCACCTCCTCTTCTCTGCGGCGCCCAGCGCTCGCAAATGGGGAAGGGGGGCGGTGGAGAAGGGCCGCTGGCCAAGCAAGTTTAGACGTTGCAACGGGGGGAAAAGGAAAAAATCCCATATGGAACCCGGCGCCTCGGAACGCGCTCCCGGGTCAAGCCAGCCGAGCAGGGCGCAGAGAGGTAGAGGATGGCAGTGGGGGCCGTGAATCGGGCTTGTCAGGGCGGATAATTTATGAGGAGGGCTACGCTGGGGAAACAGCGTTACTAATTAGAGTCCCCGAAAAGGGGCTTGGGGGGGGAATAATCGAGGCGAGAGCCGGCGGGATTCTGAAGTTTGGGAGCAGAAGGGACAGCAGGAAAGGGAAGAAAAAGAAAGCAGGCGCCCCAAGCGAGCAGGCTGGAACAGAAGGCGGCTCGCGGGGCTGGAACTTTAAGGGAGGGTGACCTGGAGGCCACTTGGACGCTCAGGAAAGGGCCTTGCTTCCGTGGGTTTCTGAGAGGTGGGCTGCCCGGGAGGGCTGTGCCCCGCCTCAGGGTGCCAGGGGCAGGGCCAGAGGGCAGGAGAGGGGCGAAGGAAAGCCGGGCGATCCTCCGGGACGCGGCTCCAGCCTCAGATGGGCCGATTGTTCCCAGAGTCCAAATTGTATTGTTTTCTCTCTAGAAAGGAAGAGGGAAGGAAATTCGGGAGGGGTGGGCGGGTGAGGAGAGAGGACTTGTTGAGCTTTGTTCTCCCCCCCGGTTCCTTGCTCAGGAGCCCTGGCTCGTCCAGCTGCCTCGGGTAACCAGGGGCTGAGGAGTTGGGGGCTAAACCGCTGACTTTTCTGTTGCAGATAACATAGGCGGCCCGGAAGGCAAAAGAGCCCGGACGGCCTACACTCGCTACCAGACCCTGGAGCTGGAAAAGGAGTTCCACTTCAACCGCTACCTGACCCGCCGAAGAAGGATTGAAATAGCACATGCTCTTTGCCTCTCCGAGAGACAAATTAAAATCTGGTTCCAAAACCGGAGAATGAAGTGGAAAAAAGATAATAAGCTGAAAAGCATGAGCATGGCGGCGGCGGGAGGGGCCTTCCGCCCCTGAGTATTTGAGCGTTTAAAGTACTGAGCAGTATTAGCGGATCCCGCATAGTGTCAGTACTAAGGTGACTTTCTGAAACTCCCTTGTGTTCCTTCTGTGAAGAAGCCCTGTTCTTGTTGCCCTAATTCATCTTTTAATCATGAGCCTGTTTATTGCCATTATAGCGCCTGTATAAGTAGATCTGCTTTCTGTTCATCTCTTTGTCCTGAATGGCTTTGTCTTGAAAAAAAAAAAATAGATGTTTTAACTTATTTATATGAAGCAAGCTGTGTTACTTGAAGTAACTATAACAAAAAAAAGAGAGAAAAAAAACACACAAAAAAGCCCCCCTTCAACCTCGTTTAGTGCCAATGTTGTGTGTTGCACTCCAGTTGTTGAACTGTGCATGTGAGTGGAAGTGTTCTTGTCTCAATAGCTCCAAGCTGTTAAAGATATTTTTATTCAAACTACCTATATCCCTTGTGTAATTAATGCTGTTGTAGAGGTGACTTGATGAGACACAACTTAACTTGTTTGACGTGTAGTGACTAGTGACTCTGTGACGAAAACTGTGACTCCGAGCGGTGTGTCCCTGCGTGCCTTTGTAGGACCCTTTGCACGAACTCTGGAAGTGGCTCTTATAAGCGCAGCTTCAGTGATGTATGTTTTTGTGAACAAAGTTACAAAATATTGTCCGAGTCTGGCTGTTTAAGCAAACTGTGATCAGCTTTTTTTTTTTTTTTTGTATTTGTTTTTAAGGAAAAAAAAAATACTGACTGGAAACAAAAAAAAATAAACTTTCTATTGTAAGTTCTCTTGGTCTGGTTTGTGCCAAAAAGCAAGCGGCTCTCTCTGTTCTTCTGTCTGTCCAGTGCTGGAAGGCAGCGAGTCTGAGGCTACCTGAGCAGCCTGCCTGTGCAAGGAGACCTCAGACCGACACCCTGACCCGCGACCACCCTAACTCTGACCCGTCAGAGTTCAGGGCAGAAAGTGGAAAAGCTGTAGGTGGCTCCAAAGCCTGAGTCCAACCTGCCCACCTCTGAGGAAACCAAGTTAACTTGCTGGGTACAAAAAAAGAGGAAGAGAGAGAAAAGGAGCAGAGCACAGGGCTTTGTTAGCAGCCCTCAGGGCCCACACGGATGCTGCCTCTTTCCTGAGGGCATCCTAGGCCTCCACTTGCTGAAGAGGCTGCTGTACCACACTGTGGCCCCCAGCCCCTCTGCCCCTAACCCACCCAGGCACCCCTTCCCATTCCTCACCCTGAGCCCAGTTGGCTTCTTTTGCTACAATTAATTTGCTACAAACGGAAGGTACTTACCCCATCCTAGCTCGAATGGGAAGCTCCTCAGAGCAGCTAAAGCGCAACTAGAGATTTGCACATTTACCGACTGCTTACACTGATGCCGTCTTTCCTTTTAAAAGTTATAAAACAGTAAACTTTATAAGCCCCAGTTCCGGCTATATGACATTTGGGTGCCAAATGAATAGGGTTTTGTCTATGAATTAGATCGTAAAATCATCCATAGCACAGACAGATCGGCTCACTGGCTATAAAACGTCACGTGGGGCCATTAAAGTAAGTTTTATGGTTTTGGGGAGTTGACATCCAACATTATATACCACATAACATATAATCTCACTGACGCTGGACTCCATTTGACTCTTTTGCAGGCTACGTGTGCCGCCTGGTCATTCAAATTGTCAATTTTAGGTCCAGAAGTGTCCAAACCACAAGTTCTCAAAACTCTCTGAAAAATGGCTCCCTCCGAGTTAAGGTAAGCTTGCCTCCTGAGCGCTTTCAAGTTTATTTGTACTCTGAAAACTTTCTTCCTCAATCTCCCTCCCTCCCTCCCTCTCTCTCTCTCTGGGTCAGTCACTGAGGTTGCCTCTGAATTCAGAAGGGCAGAGCCAACTCTTCTCTGCCCACATGAGCAGCGCCAGGAGCCAGCTCTGCGGAGGCACCCGGTGGAAAGCGCCTGTGGCCGCCGCGTCCCCAGGCCTAACTTTAATTGCTGCACAACCGCGAATGTTAATGACTTCCGCTGCTCTCGCCGGCGCAAAAGATGATTTTTGTGCGCGAATGGGCCTGCGTGTGGGGACTGGGCCTGGCCGCCCCCCGTCCCGGGGCCGGCGGGGCTGCCCCTTCGGGGGGCAGCGGGGCCCTAGGGTGGGGGCTGGGAGCCAGTGGGGCGCGGGCCGCGGGCGCCGAGGGCCGCGCTGCGCTGGGGAGTGCTTGGAGTTTGAAAGAAAGGCCCGGGCTGGGCCGAGGCGGACTCTGGCGGGATTCCTTACGGGGCTGTGGCAATATGTCTTCGCGGGCCGGGGTCATTTGGCAGCACTGAATTGCGGCGGCTGCCTTCGGGGGCCGAGTTTCAGGCTGGCTCGCGAGAGCCGGAGGGTGGCAGAGGCCGGCGGGGCGCGGGCCGCACCTCCAGGCTGGGCCCCCCGGGGTTGCCAGGCCGAGCCCAGGACGCCGGGGACCGCGCGGGTCCCCCACCTGGGGGTGGGGAGGGAGGGCTCCCCACCCCCTCCCCTGCACCCGGGACCAGGCCCTGAACCTTGTTTGCCTGCGCGTTCTTTTTATTTCGGTGGGACTGTTCTCACCCGCCTGTGAGTCTGAAGCAATAAACTTTATGGCCGGATTTAACTTTAGTCTTTGAATCCCCAGGCTAAATGAAAGGAGTTAAAGCGCTTTCTTTTCTTCCGCCTTCCCTTTCTTCTCCCTCTCTTCTTTCCTTTTCCTCTCTTCCTTTGTAGAATTAAAACATGCGCGCACAGGACGCTCAAAAGGCAACTTAGGGACCCCCCTAGATAACACTAAAGATTAAGAGACATTTACTCCCCCTCAACATACAGACAAATTCTCTCTTCCAAACTGTGCCCTAAAGTTTGAGGGGAAGTCGAGGTGTCTTCAATGCCCAACTTAAAAGTCCCCAGAGCCATTAGGTTGTTTTTCCTGACACATCATAAAGGGTAGTTTAGGGAAGAAATTGGTCGTTTGTCAGTAGGAGATTTCCGCCTTTCTTTTGTTAGCTGCTCTTTCTGTTTGATCCCAGGAAATTTACATAATCTATGATTTCCAAAACAGTTCCCAATATTGCACCAAGGGCGAAGTAAGGTGAAATAAATTTTTCCTGGGTACAATTCCAACTTGGCCTCAGCCACCACCCTCTCTGGCCCCAAAGTCTCACATTCTTCAGTAAGAAAGTGACTGGGGATGCTGTGGCCTGTCTTGGGGTCCTTCTCTGGATGGATACCCACAAGGCACCTTGCAGATTTCTCCCATTGCCTGGAAGAATTAAGCCAAACTCTCCAACTCAGAAATGAAACAGACCAAAAAAAAAAAAAAAAAAAAGGACGTTCTGTCTCTTTAGGAGCTGGATAGTTTTCTCCAGGGCTAATTGCTAAAGATACTTGCTAAGGGCTTAAAGTGAAAGATTTCAAGCACAGTTTTGGAATTTCAACAAACTTTATTGTGCAGAAACCCAACATAAGTCCAACAGTTGTCCCCAAAGTCAGAGGCCCAGGAAACAAACCTGGGAAGTTCTTTGAAAAATCAAGAGCCCCGCCCCTCCCCAAGTCCCACTTCTCTGAAATAGTGGCAAGGCAAATCCCTGAAGTCATCTTGCATGACCTATGGAAAGGATTGGCATTTCAGTGCTCTGGAAGATATGTCCGCATCTTAGTGGGAACTGGCATATAAACTCTGCTTGGGTTCTCTTTTGTTGTTTTGTGTGTCTGTGAGTATTCTGGGGTCTTTTGTTTTGCTGCTCAGAGTTTTGGGTTCTTTCCTGGAGAATATTGGGTTAAGGTTTTATTTTAGTTACCCACTTGGTGATGTTGGTTGAGTGATTTCTTGGTGACTAAAATTAGTAGCAGAAAAGAGGGATAAGGCTTCTGGCAGGTTCATTTGAGTAACTTGGCTGGAGGAAGTGTCCACACCACCTCTGTGGCCACATCCCACCCTGGGGTGTGGGGATGGGCAGAAAGGCTGTTGGACAGATATCCAGCATTACCCAATATACAGAATCTTTCCCATGAATTAAAAAATATATACAATTTATAAATACGGCCAGCTTGCTTGTTTCTGTCTGTTGTGATCTTCATGAAACTTTAGAGTTTCTAAGATGGCAGGTTAACTCACATGGAGTTAAATGACTTTGAAAAAATACAGCATCCAGTCAGACCTATGTGAGTGCTATAGGAAAATTTTTTTTCTTCCTATTTTCATAGGAAGCAGAGTAAAGAGGATGGCTTGTTACCCGCCCATTTTGTAGGTAAGGTATTTCTTCTTGTGCATTCTTTGGGGTTGTTTTTGCGGAGGAACTTACTTAGAAGGAAAAAAAAATCTCTGTCATTAAGGGCTTTATGATGACGTCCAGCCTCAGCCGGTGGCAGAAGTGTCTGTCTGTGCCCCTCATCTTGTAAGAGGAGAAGGTGTCCAGTATGTGCAGGGCCTCGTTTGTTTCTACAAGCTGAAGAGACAATATTTCCTGAACTATAAATATAATAGGAAGCTTCTGGTCACACTTACTTAGGGGTTTGTAAGGGTTTCCATGGTCTAATTTCACAACATTATGCTGAGATTCCTTTTCTCCAGCTCTTTCCCCTGCTTCATTGTTGGCGGCTCTGGGAGAGCAAGACAGAATTTTCTACCAGAAACAGAGTCCTGTTCATTTGTTGGGATGTAAAGAGTGTTATATCCAAACAATTAGTGAGGGGGGAGCAAATTGCATCCCAAAAGATGGCCTATTAAAAAGGAAAACAATCCTTTTAGCTTAAAAGATGCCCTTCGAAGCCTCTCTCCTGCCTTAGCTCTGAGTCTGTCTGGAGGTCTGTCTACCATGGAGAGTGCAGAATGTTGTGGGCTCCATCCCTTTGGCTCCTAAGGTAGAATTTCTTTCTAGTCAATGACAAAACTATAAACGGGGCTTCCAGAAAGGGCTGAGGGGGTCAGCCTAGGTTCCCACCCACATAGGAGAGGGGAACCACAGTGCTGGCCATTCTGAACCCCAGAAGGGGAAGATATGCCTCTGTCTGTTTTGTTTGGTGTCTTCTCACAAAGAAAGCTGTCCTTCCACCAGGTCCCCTCCCCACAAACTGGTCTTTTCAATAATAATATTTGTTATGAAGGTTATTGGGTAATTATTGCGATTTTGTGAAGCAGCCCTTGCTGGAGGTGAAGTCTGTCATCGCCTAACAAATGACGCCCGTACAGTTCACTGCCGGGTTAAGTAAATGCAGAGAAGATAAATCTGCACACCCTAGGAATCGCCAGCAGAGCACGCTTTAGTACAAGTTCACAGTCAACTCGCCTGCCTGGGCC